TGCTGGGCATGAGCTAAAAAAAAAATCTGCATGAATTTCGTTGTTGGAAGGAAAGGTACCACGTACTGGAAGAAATACGTTTGAACCACGAGTGTAACAGCTCAAGGGAAAAGTCTGGGCAAAATTCCCATGGATTTCCCCGCATCCAGGTTTTCACTGCTGGTTGTCACTGTGATTAGTTCAAGGTGTAAACAGACATGCCCTCCGCAAGCAGCTGTGCTGAGGGAAGAGGTTGCCACCTACCACCAGACCTCCTGCTTGTTCTTTTACACCCTCTGCTGGAAAACGCCGTCTCCTCTTACCCACCAGCCAAGCCGCTCGCCTGGTGTCCATCCAGCCCCATTTTGAGCTCCTCCAGACCATGCTCCAGAAGACCTCCTGCTGAGATGAAGCTGTTCCTGTGCTAACCTTTGCCTAACGGGCTACAGTCATTGGGAAGAAGCTGAGCAGGAACATAAGCACAGGAAGGACATGGACCTTGGAGACCCATGGTCCATGTTGGAACAAGTCCAGAGGAAGTCATGAAGACACTGCGAGGGCTGGAGCCCCTCTGCTGTGAGGACAGGCTGCGAGAGTTGGGGGGTTCAGCCTGGAGAAGAGAAGACTCCGAGACTCCGGGGAGACCTTAGAGCCCCTTCCAGTCCCTGAAGGAGCTCCAGGAAAGCTGGGGAAGAACTCTTGATCAGGGAGTGGAGCAATAGGACAAGAGGTAATGGTTTTAAACTGAAAGAGGGGAGATTTGGATGAGATCTCAGGAAGAAATTCTTTGCTGTGAGGGTAGTGAGAGCCTGGCCCAGGTTGCCCAGGGAAGCTGTGGCTGCCCCATCCCTGGAGGGGTTCAAGGCCAGGTTGGATGGGGCTTTGAGCAACCTGGTCTGGTGGGACCTGTCCCTGCCCATGGCAAGGGGTTGGAACTTGATGATCTTTAAGGTCTCCATTCCAACTCTAACCACCCTGTGATTCTGTGATTCTATAAAGGCGGTTTGAGGCTACCGAAAATGCTGTGAAGACTTGGAATAAGCCAGTCAGGAGTATTTTGCTGAATTCTGGTCAAGCCATCACATATACGCTACAGCAGAAATGGCACTGATGGTGGAAGAGGCTGTAGTGGTTAGAGATACAGTAATTTTCAGTACAAAGAGGCTGGATCTTTGGAAACTTAGGACATGCCACACTTGAAGTAGCCCCACGGCCCCGGTATGGGAGCAGATGAAGCCCTGATGCCAGTTACTGGACTTGATACCATGGGGAGAGGTCGGCACCAGCCCCAGCCCAAACCATCCTGGCCTTCAGCAAGTGCTGAGTGGGTGTCAAGAAGCCCAAGTGTGAGAGAGAAAACTATTTAACCCCGTCTGTATTTTGGCTGCCGAGTTGCAGAGTTGGCCTTCACAAACTTTTCCTGTTGGGGCAGAAAGTCTAGAAAATACTCCTGTCTATCTCCTATGAGAAGACTGATGCTCACGGTATCTTCTGGCTCCAGAAGCTGGAGATTTCGGAAGAAAATCAACTGCCATCTAAGTAGGAACAAAATCAGGTGAAGAGTTTTGACGGTGAGAGACAGTGTCTCAGGAGCTCTCGCTCTCTTTTTTGCCCTCTCTGCAGAACTGCTCGCATCAAGACCCTAAACCCCCTCTGTAAAAGCTGTTTGCGTGCAAGCAGATGGTATTTCATTGTCTTTTGCTACTGATCTTGAATTATCAGCCTTTATAATGAAAATGCCAATTCAGCCTTGACTGCTCTGCTATAACTCTACCAGGACCACTATAATGCACACACCATATATACTGAATATTTATTATGGTGCTGTGCATATTATTTATTGTATATGCAACATATTTTGTAGGTGAAAAATGATACCTTATCTAAGTCAATGAGCATAACCAGGAAAAATATGGCAGAGTAATCATGTGATTCATAATTGACATCTGCTCTCCGAAGACTTGGACAGAATCTGAATTTTCAGCGTATGCTGGGAACGCTCTTCTGTTTGCTGGCCTGGGCAGAACCGTGCCACCGCTCTCCCCGGCAGCTCCATCACTCTTCCCTATTTCCATAATTCCCTGGGCGCCGAGGAAAGCTGGGCCAGCACACGCTGAAAATATTTCAAGAAGTTGCAAAAAAAAAAAAGAAAGAAAAAGCGCTGATGTTTTTCAGAGTCCAGAAACAAGGCGAGGAAGCGGGGTTTTGTTTTATTTTTTTCTATCCAAATGCTAATGAAGACCAGTCCGTGCGCATCCTTAGGGTTTTCTTAGATTCACAGTGGGTTTTTATACGTGCGTGTGTGTTCATGTAGATATGAATATACGAGTGCCTTTTTTTGGGAAGCATCTCCTGTTCTGATTTCACCACTGTGTTGATACCCACCGTGTAGCCTGGACACGGCCAGAGGAGCAAAACCTCTGCAGCCTCTCCCCACCTCCAGCATTGACTCTTTGGTTCAATCCTTCCCTTAAATGTGCCTTTTTCTGACATGGCATACAGGTTTACAGGTTCCTTGCACCTATTTGGAGCAACATGAGCTCAAATTGCTGAGAAAAGAGAATTTGGGGGGCTGGGGGTCATTGGCTTTTATCACTTTGGCTCCTGCTGGTCGTGAGAAGCTCGTGGTGCAGTGGGTGATATGGCGGGACCTGGGTCCTTTTAATAGGTTGTCTCATCAGCCTAATTATTGGCCAGATTTCCAGCAGATTTAATGTGTTGATGGGCTACACAGGCATCAGTGAGCAAATCCCCAGAAGAGAGGAGGGCTGCAGAAAAATCCACAGAAATTCCATAGTAGGTAAAGTCATATCTGGTCTACAGAGAAGGAGAATAGAAGGGAGATGAAGGTGGAATTGGAAGAAGAGCTGAGTGAAGCTGCTCTCAGTTCAACAAGCACCAACAACTCGAGGAGTTTTCCTTTCATTGACTCAATTTTTCTTGCTTTTGTGGATTCTTCAGTGTCTGCTACTGTGGCTGGGAGAAATACGGAGCGGCTTTGGCTCGTCCCAGCCTGGCTGGCATATGGTGTCCTCGGGAGGATGAGGGTGGAGAGGAGGGGATGAGGAAGGGTTTATTAGTGTAAATAACAACAGGGATGTAGCGAGAGGTTTCGAACAACCATCCCAATAACCTTATTGACAGCATCTAGGGAACAGCCCACATCTTTATTGGCGTTGCTCTGGGTGCAGGAACATGGCCAAGTTTGTCTCGGCATCTGAGCTCGTCTTCCTTGTCAAAGCCTTGTATTTCTGGACAGATAAGGCTCCGTTTACAGCACACTTAAAAGCAATAGCTGAAGAGAACAGAGGCTTCACCACTTTGATATGCAAAAGACAACAAATTTTATGTATATAGTTGGGGGGGGGAGCTAATCCTGCTCTCGCTGAAGCCTTTTGGAAGTTTCCCAATGACTTTGCAGAGACTTTGAATCACGGCCAGATTTTTGCGTTTTGATTTTGTTGTTTGGTGGTTTTTTTGTTGGTGTTGGGTTTTTTTTAAATTGTTTGTTTGTTTGTTTGTTTTTCTCTCCTTTCCCCTCTTGCAAAATGTCAGGAATAAAATATTTTGATTCAAAATGGCACGGCGGTGCCTCGCAGCACTGTGGTCCGGGCCCCACTTTTTTTCTTCCCCCCCTCACCAAGCAGCCTCTGGCGCTTTTCCTGGGGGGCAGAAGATGGGTGGATGGAGCTGGGCCCTTGGGCCACCACAGCCGTGCCAGGGAGGTGCCAACGCCAAGTGCCAAGCTGTCATCTCCAGAGCCAGGCCCTCGTCGCCTATCAGATGGGCTGCTTGATAAATTCAAAGCTCCCAAAGGTTAAAAAAATAGTATTTCAGTTGGCTTGGGGAGCCCACACGCTCTTTGCCATGTGCCTGCTGGAGAGTAAGGCAGAAAAAGTCATTTTAGAGGTAATTTTAAGATATTTCAGGTCTTCTGGGCATGCCAGCTCAATGGGAATAAAGCCGGCAATCAGTGCTTTATTCCAATTAGCCAAATCTGATTTGGTAACGCTGCCCCAGGAGGAGTTCCCAGCCAGGCAGAGGGGCTTTACCATGAGCCAGAGGGGAACCGGGCTTGGGAGCAGTGGCTGGAGGAAAAACCTCTTAAAAAAAGTGTTGAATTTTAATGAAAGTGGCTCATAATGTGTAAGAGGGAGAATGCTGTTATGCCTAAGCGGACTTGCTTGTGTGTCTAGTTGTGAAGCCTTGCACTCTGTATCCTGGGATTCCCTGAGCCTTGGAACAGTGTTCTGATATTCAGTTGTCTTTATACACTCAGCATGTATAGTTACCCTACCTAAAGGAAGGTAGGTCCACATACATACACATATATGCATGTATTTTAATGTGCGTGTACATATATATTTATAGACACATTGCATATTATTGAATATACATGCTATACCTATGTATGCATACATACATATGCATATCTGCTTATGCTTCTGTACATTTTTATGAGATAAATAAGGCATAAAAAAGAAAAATCTATATAGTGTAGGTACATAACAAGATACAATAAATTTAAGTACGTTTGAGGGGTTTGTATATATAACTGTATATCTAGAGATATTCTACCTTTTAAGATAATGTAGGGTGAAGCAGATTTTAATATGTTATAGGGGATAATTGCTGCAGAGCACATCAGAGAAAAGAAGTTATTCTCCTCCAAGATGGGTGAATTTAAAGAGATTGGCTCGTTATCGTCGTGACTGGCTTCCCTGGCAGGATTTCTGCCAGCGGTGCTTGGAAATGTCCTTGGGGTGATGGTCTTGGGCTTAAAAGAAGTGGCCAAGCTGCCTGGGGGGGTTTGGAAGGGGCTGTTGGGAGCAGCCCTTGCAGGTGGGGGGACAGCCAGCACCCCACACCCCGGGTATCCCCCACCTCACAGCTCTCTGGGCAGGAGCGGGGTGTCAACCTGTGAACGTCAGCTTCAGTGTGAAAGTTTTCAAGTGAATCATCAGTTGTTAATATTCCCGTCTCCTAAAAGCTTCTAATACGCTTTCTGTCACGTCATTTAGGCACCCGGAGCGGTATTGGAAAGCGTCAGTCTCCTGCCAGAAGGTTCTGAAGTGGCATTTTCTGCAGCCTTGATGACTCTCTTCCAGGTAAAGCAGAAAGAAATCACCTTCTCCTGCCGAGAGGGGCAGAGCAGTGTTTGTCCTGATTTCTGCAGGGGGGGGCAGAGGGGGTAAATCACGAGAAAATCACTGGTGCTTCTGAAAATCAAGTGGGCATCTTCGGCTTCAGCCGTGTCACCTGCCTAATGCTGAAACCTAAGGCTGAGCTGGGATTTTCCACCCAAAACCACGAACCAAGGCTGTCGCAGCCACAGCCTGGGCAGAGCCTGGGTTTTGCCAAAGCCTGGCTCAGGCAGGTGCTCCGTACTCTCCCTGCCCCAAAAAATAAAAAATGGAGGTTGCTTCTTATGTCTTATGGGCTCAGAAAAAAAAAAAAAGGGGAAGGGCTGGAAGGATTATTCTGAGCTTCTCATGATGCTCCATCCCCATGGTACTCGGCTCCTCCGGCGGGTGCCCATGGGTGCAGCAAGCTGTGGGGTCTCAGCTGTGATGCTTCCTTCACCATGAGGAGCTCTCCTGGGCCCATGTGAAGCAGGAAACTTTCCTTTTCCCCTCAGCTCCTTGTGTTTGAGGTCTTAATTTGTCAAGCCCTTGCTTTGGGGCCGGAGGAAGGCACAGCCCTGTGCGGGCGATGTGGGATGCCCAAGGAGGGAGCAGCAGGCTGTTGTTGGGTTCCCGAGGCTCTTCAGATGCCCTCATTGACTGAGAAAGGGAAGGGAAAAAAAAAACCAACAAAACCAACTGGGTATGTGAGAAATGCCAACACTGAAGGAAAGCAAGAAAAAAGCACACACACATCTGCAGCTGATTTTGACTGTATAAATAAATGGTAGGTGGCTTTGGCACTCCCAGCGCAAATAATTAAATGGTGCACTTGGGTTCTAGGACACCATTGACCGAAAAATATATATAGATATGAGAGAGAGAGTGTGTGCGTATACATATGTACTCATGATTTATCCCAAATCGTATGGTTATCTTCTTTCCCCCTGTGCAATTACAAATTGGTTAATAACTCCGCGCCCGAAGCGCGAGCAGGATGGGGAGGCTGGGGGGGGCCCTGCGTCAGGCCTCGCTGGTGGGGGGCCGTGTGTGGGGGGGTGTCTGGTTTTATTTAGGGCCACGCCTCGGCAGTTTTAAGACAACAAGATGCAATTACCCCCACCACAAAGTGCTCGGGGAGAGCCTGGCGGTCCCCGGTGCCGGTGGGAAAGGGGAGGCTGGGAGCAGGCCAGCCCCAGAGGAAGCCTCCCCAGTGGGACTGTCAGGAGTCATCTCCCTTCCTGCACAAACCCTGGGCCTTAAGGTGAGTTTTAAGTCCATCTATATCTGCCAGACCCAGGGATTCATCTCCCAGAACTACCCATTTTCTTCTGGCTGGAAGGTATACAGCTGAGGATGGGCGAGGTGGATCCAAAGCTTGAAAAATTTTCCTTTTCCTCTTAAAAAAATCCTCGTCGATGCCGAGGAACCTGCTGCCTGTAATTGGGCGAAGCTCCCTTGGCACTTCTTCTGAGGAGCGATGAAGACATCAAGCCTTATATGGCTTCCATTATTATTTTGTTTTATTGTGTTGTCGTTTTATGAGGGGCTGGAGGCCCACAGGGAGCGGGAAGGCCCTACCATCTCGACTGGGGTGGGGAGCAGAGGAGGCACGTCCGGGCTGCCTGGTATCGGGGAATGACTCCATCCCAAGCCCTGGCGTGGCAGGGGAAACAATTCCTGTTTACCAACAGGCCCACTGGTGTGTTGCCACCACCAGAGGACATTTGTGGCCGAGCTGGCATTGCACAATGGCCACCGTGGTCCTTTGCCAGAGCCCTGGGCTCTGAGGTGCTGGAAGAGGGAGCAGGGCTCGGTGTGGCTGAGAGGAGACACAGGGGAGACCTTATTGCCCTCTACAACTCCCTGAAAGGAGGGTGTAGAGAGGTGGGGGTCGGTCTCGTCTCCCAAGTCACAGGTGACAGGACGAGAGGAAATGGCCTCAAGTTACACCAGGGGAGGTTCAGGCTGGATATTGGGAAAATTTTTTTTCACCAAAAGGGTTATCAGCCATTGGAATGGGCTGCCCAGGGAGGTGGTTGAGGCACCATCCCTGGAGGTGTTCAAAAGACAGGTTGATGTAGTGCTGGGAGATATGGTTTAGTGATGGTGATGCTTCTTGTTTGTTGTGCGAGTGTCTATTTTTGTCAAAGTTAGGTTGACGGTTGGACAAGATGATCTTTAAGGTCCTTCCAACTTAGAAGATTCTGTGATTCTGTGAAATACACCCTCCCCTACTTGCTTTCCCACCCTGTTGCATCAATTTTGGGGAGGGCCCTGTGGGCGCCACGTGAGGCACAAGCAAGAGGAGAGCCAGAGAGCTTTTACCACCCTGTGTTATTTTTTAGGCTGGACTCCATGTGGACAGTGTTAATACCAAACCAGAGAGGGGTTTGTGGGTTAAGATGGTAAGTGGTGTTAAAGCATTTCAGTCTCCTCATCTCTTTCCCAGACTTCTTCATCCAGAATTTCCATCATCTCAGTGCAAACCTCGCTGCCTTGGGCTTCCTCTTTTTCCCTCTTCTTCTCCTTTTGCCCCATTCACTTTTAAAACAGGCGTTCAATTTTAACCTGTGGAGCAGTTTTGCAGGGAACGTAAAGCGAGATGTCGCTAATCGTGAAGGTGGCACTCTGAGAGAGGTAGCCCAGAAGTACCTCATCTGTGATTTGCACACCCTAAACCTTGAACAGAAGCCTCAAAACCCTCCAAGCCAGATATGCCCTGTGTCCAGACAAGAAATCTGGAGCCAATGCCTATCTCGTGATAGGACACCGGGGTCACAGATAGTCAAAGAAGGTTGGAGGGTCAATAAACTCCTTGGTGGCTTCACAGACCCCACTCAGCCCAGCAATGCGTTGGCTGTGGCAGCTCCTGAGCACTCCAGGGTGGGTTTTAAGAGGGAAGCAGGCATAACCTTTAATATTACAGGTGTGCCCATGCTCACGTGGCTAGAACTCCTGCAGCTAGTCCTAATTGAAGTGGTTTGGGTGCTTCCAGCAATGCCAATCCTGTCTAGAGCAAGCTATGGCAGTGATCTAGGACTTAGAGGCATCTCAGGAGGGTTTCGTTGCCCACCCTGTGCTTTATCTACTCATGCTTGAAGCTAGTGCAGATATGTCCTGCTCCTCCAGCACTTAGACATGTTTGCTTTCCATCCTCCACCTTCCTCACCCACCCCACCGCCCCCCGACAGGGTGCAGCCCTTTGGGTTATGGTTACTGGTCCTGCCCCAGTGCCAAAAGATGAGAAACAACCTGATTTTTCACTTCTCCTTCAAAAAGATTAAAACAGGGCTACACAGGAGCTCGGCTGAGCTGCGGGAATGCTGACCACCGCATCTTTCCCCAATCCCTTAGGACTTCTCTGCATGCAAAGAGAATGGGACAACCCTGGTCCTCTGGGAGGACAAAATAGAGAGTGAAAAGTGCTTTTTCGTTTGCTTATTGATACGGTGTGGGGTCACCAAGCCAGGTCTAGGAATAGCCCCCAGACCTTATCATTGTCTCTCTATAAGGGCATTTATTGCATCCCATCCAAGTGGAGCGTGACACATCGCACCAGAATTCCTGCCAATACCACAGGATTTAAGCACGTGTGCCACTTTGTATTTTGTTTTGGGGGTTGGTTTTTTGGGGCTTGTTTTTGGGGTTGTTTTTTTGTTGTTGTTTTTCTGTCATAGGCTGCTGGCAGATCTGCTGTGATTCCCTCAGCCCGTTAGGAGTGTGCGCTGAGCCATTCCCAGCCAGTTGGAGCTTTTCCACAAGATGGTACTCAGCCCAGTTCTGTAATTGAAACAGGGCAGGGATGCTCCCGGGGAAAGCAGACGTCAGCCAAAAAAACAGGCCGCGATAGTCAGAGATATTTAATACACAAATAAGAAGTTGTTTCATAAATATCTTATAAAAACTGTAATTTACTTCCCGATATTTTAGCAGATTATCTTAATGCAAACAGCAGATGTATTTCGGAATGACAAGACAAATGTTTAGCAAAATTAAACTTATTCATGTGCAGTCACACAGGGAATATTTGCATGATATTTTACTAATTGCTGCAAAATCTGACTTGTAGCAAATAAACAAACAGGGGAAAAATAAACCACCAGAAAGATTAGCCTCAGGCCTCTCTTTTTAAGTTCTCCAAGTCTTTCTTTAACGGCTCAACTCTTTTCTCTGGCAGTTTGGGGTTCCTCCCCCGTCTCCCCATCGCTCTTCTCAGCCTGTTACCCTGTTGCAGATTCCCAGTTTTCTCCTGGTTAGCAGATTTCTTCCAAAAGGGGGTTGATTGTCTTCTTCCCTTGGAGTCTAAATGCCCTTCCTTGCTCTGCAGTTCTGCCTGCTCCAGTGTCTTATTGCTTGGCTGTAGTCAACGAGGCCAGTTTCCAAATTGTTAAATTTCCTTAGGCGTTTGGGGGGAAATAATCGCTATTTTACCCAGCTCAGAGGTTGTCCCAAATAGGATGAACCATACAAAAAAACCCAATTCAAAAGGAGTGGATGCTTTTTTAGTGGCCAGGAATTCAGACTTGGGTTACTTTAACCTTCTCTTACGAGTTTCGAGTTACAGCAGTGAGAATTGAGTTGTAGTTGCTGATTGTTATGACATTATTTTATGTCAGGTCTATTTATTTGCCCTCCTGGAAAAAGAGAACGTATTTCGAGACGTCAAAATATTTTGTTCGCCTTCATTCAATTGCAAGAGGAGCCGTAGGTGAAGTAAGAAAAATGTATGTTTATCAAAATTTTGGTGCGCGGTCGATGGTTACATGTTTGTATATATTTCATACTCCCAAACTGAAGGAGTGCTGAGGGTGCAGAAAAATCAAGCAGTGGGAAGTTAGCAAAGGTCAGAATTAAAATTGGTATGGCTTACACAGGAATCCCATTGCCTGCAGGAGTAAGCGAGCAGCAGCACTGGGAAGAGAAGTCCTCAAGACAGCTGCTTTTTGCCCAAGGTGCTGGAGTATCTGACGACAGCGGGCATCTCTTACCATCCTTCTGTCAGTCACTGCAGGTGGATAGGCAATGCGGTTTATTTACATGACTTCTACAAGCAAAGGGGAATTTTTTTAAGCCTTTGAGCTTTTAAGATCCCAAATCCCATTGTAAGTCATGTCCCCAGTGCTGAAAATATTCCTTGTTATGGGTTGGATTCTGGAGGAGGCTTGGAGGGAGTGTGTGTAGCCGCTGTTGGGGCACTTTGTTGCCTACGCAGGCCAGCCATCATAGAATCATAGAATCGTCTAGGTTGGAAGGGACCTTAAAGATCATCTAGTCCAACCATCAACCTAACTCTGACTAAAAAATAAATAAGAAATAAGCAAAAAAAAAAAAAAAACCACTAAACCATATTCTTGAGGACCATGTCAACCCGTCTTTTGAACACCTCCAAGGATGGTGCCTCAACCACCTCCCTGGGCAGCCTATTCCAATGCTGGATAACCCTTTCCGTGAAGAAATTTTTCCTAATATCCAATCTAAACCTCCCCTGGTGCAACTTGAGGCTATTTCCCCTTGTCCTGTCTCCTGTGACTTGGGAGACGAGACTGACCCCTGCCTCTCTACACCCCCCCTTCAGGTAGTTATAGAGCACGATAAGGCCTCCCCTCAGCCTCCTCTTCTTCAGACTAAACACCCCCAGCTCCCTCAGTCTCTCCTCATAAGATTTACTCTCCAGACCCCTCACCAGCTTCGTTGCCCTTCTCTGGACCTGCTCCAGCGTTGGCCATGCGATGGCCATGAAAACTCAAGTGCTTGCTCAGTGGTGGTGCAAATGCTGCTGCAGAGGGTTTTTAATTTGCAGAGGCAGATTAAGTTGGTGGGCTTTGCTGAAGAATTGCTGCCCGTAGGGGAGTAGGGGGTCTACGAGCTGCCATTCCCCACAGTTTGTGCCTGGACAACATCCTGGTTTGGCTGGGACATTGGTCCAATCCCAGTGGGCAGCCTGACATGGGATGCAGACCTCCTCTTAGCTCATATCGTGTGCTTTTGCAACATCCAGCTTTTCATGCCGACCAGCATTTGCATTTTCGACTGGCTTTTTCCTGGTGGTTATGATGTGGATGGAGATGCTGAACTAAATGCACAGGTCGGTGCTGAGGAGTCCCTAAACAATTAGATCAGCTGTACATCCAAAATGGTCCTCTGAGATTCTGCTCAAGTATTTCTGTAGGGTCAGTTCTCCTCTAACCTGATTTTTTTATATATATATATATTATTTTTTTTACTAAGGTAACACAAGAGACAACAGGTACATTAGCTGGCTGAATAGAAAAAGTGAAGGGGAAACCGGGGCATTATTGTTATTATCCTTTTTTCATTAAAAGACGTGAGAGGTTCCGTTCCTGAAGTTTACATATTGAGCTCACTAAAGTCTTTCTTTGGCCTCTCCCATCCGCAGGTCACTGCAGGGATATGTAAAAAGGAAATGTTTTATTTTAACAGTTGAACAAAGTACATGAAACACACCCTCGCTACTGCGTAACATTCCTTAAGTTAAATCACAGAACCTAGCATAACCTTTTTCTTTTTTCTTTTTTCTTTTTTTTTCTTTTTTCTCCCTCAGTCTTTTATTTCATTGAGAAGAGCCCAAAGTATAATATTCTTTCAGGAAGCATAAATCGTATTGCTGGAAGTAATAGCAATCTCCCAAGCAGAATCCCCCGGGGACTCGCGCCGCTCCGCTTTCCAAAAAGCTGCCTTCAAGTACATCCCATGGTGCCTCCTTCCCAGCAGGAATCCCCAGTGCTGCACTGGTGGCCGTGCCTGAGGAGCTGTAGATGATGCCCAAGCAACTGGAGCTTTTCACCCTAGGGTTTTCCCAGCGTTTTGGACCATCCTGGGACTTGGGAGAAGCTGCCAAGACTCTTGTCCAACCACCCCGATTTCGGTGCTTCTTCTTGACTGTCGGTACGCGCGTGTAAGTCCCACAAATGTAAATAAAAGTTATGTTCATGCGTGGAGGGGGAAATAGATGGGTTTATCTTGGCTCAGGACAAGCAGCGCGTCCCCGAGGAGCTACTTAGGAGGTTATTGAGAAGCCAACAGCGAAGTGCGGCGGGGCTGTACCTTCCTACATGTGTGTTGCAGAAATTATTGGCATGTTGCTGATGTTTATGGTGAACAAATAGTTTATTTCTGGGCTAAGAAAGATTCCAGTGTAAATACTCAACTGGCAGCTAGCTGGAAGTTTGCCACTTGAAGTTAAAAGGCCCGTGACCAATGGTGTCAGATTAACATTTCCAAGTTGGACAATGTACAAATGGTGTTCTTGGACTGGAATAGAAATAGATGAAAGTGGTCTACTGCAGTGCAAATAACAAACTGGCAACCAGCTGGTCATTGGAAAAAGAACATGCTATGGGAATATGCTTTCTGCAGAAATACTTTATTTTGGAGATAAGCATTAACAATAGGAAGATGAGGCTCATTTAACAAGAACCATATGGTCTCATCCTGCTTTTATTTCACTTAATGGCAAAGCCCTGATTGTCTTTTGTGGATGGGGGACGGGGGTTACTGATAATAAATAAGTAGCACAATAAGTTGCCCGATCCACTGTTGCTCTTCAAAAGGTGTAAACGGTATTTTTAACCCACGTGTTGGTATTTCAGGAGACAATAGCCGAAAGGAAGTGGAATTGAAGGGGCTTCTTGAAAAACAGCAACTTCTGACAAAATAAACCAAGACAAAGATCCATTCAAGATGAAGTTATCAAACCGTGCGAAACCAATACAGCAACGTTTCCAAGCTGGTAAGTGGAGAAGTTGTGGATGGATTAATTAAAAAAAAAAAAAAAGACATTTGGATATTTGTGGGAGGAAACAATAGCCTGTAAAAAGTACCTTATGTGCAGATGGGGGAATAAGGCAGGGACTTTACTGGGGTGATGGCAATGTCCTAAAAGCACTAGCTTGGTTTTTTTAAGAAGCTACACAATCTATTCTGTTAGCAAGATAATTAAAGATAATAGAATTCAGCATCATAGTTTCAGTCTGGTCCCCAAATTGATTTGTGCTACAAAAAAAAAAAAAAAAAAAAGGAAAAGCAAGCCAAGGGAGTTGCAGCCTCAGTGGAAAATCCTCTTTTGGGAACTTTTCAAGGATGTAAAACATCATCTTGAATTGTTTACTTTTATGGGTAGGAAGTAAAAAAGAAGTGAAGTAAGAGTGGAAATGGTCTTCTTACCACAGTTGGAAGGTTGCAGTAAAACCGATACAGCTCAACATTGCAAATTCATTTTTAAAACTGATTTTGTTTGTGGGTTGTTTTTTTTTTTACAGTGGCTAAGGTTTGGTTTTTTGGTCACAAAAAAAAAAAAGGAACATGGAAACTATTTATTATCAAGAAAAATCAAGATTTGAACATGAAAAAATATGGATCGTGTATGCAGAGGCTCACGTCAGCCATTGGATATAGGTACTCACTGCCATTGATTTCCATGTGTCTGGAGACAGCTTATAACACTCAAGGATATCAGCATTTCATTATGTTACATATTTAGATACATCGTATTTCTAACGCTGCTGGTTTTGCTCCCGAAGTTCATTTTTTCCTTCTTTTTGCTGTAAAATATAGCAAATACTGGAAACGATACAGAATTTGGAGCACATGTAGATTCAGATGTTCAGTTCAAATCTATTAGTTCATCTCCTGGTTTCACTTTGAACACCCCCTTCCTCTTCCCCTTCCCCAGGACTCATTTCTCATTTCCCCAGCACAGGAAGGACATGGACCTGTTGGAGCAGGGCCAGAGGAGGCCACGAAGATGATCTGAGGGCTGGAGCCCCTCTGCTGTGAGGACAGGCTGAGAGAGTTGGGGGGTTCAGTCTGGAGAAGAGAAGGCTCCGGGGAGACCTTAGAGCCCCTTCCAGTCCCTCAAGGGATCTACAGGAGAGATGAGGTGGGACTTTTGATGGGGGAGTGTGGTGATAGGATGAGGGGTAATGGTTTTAAACTGAAAGAGGGGAGATTGAGATGAGATCTCAGGAAGAACTTCTTTGCTGTGAGGGTGGTGAGAGCCTGGCCCAGGTTGCCCAGAGAAGCTGGGGCTGCCTCATCCCTGGAGGGGTTGAAGGCCAGGTTGGAGGGGGCTTGGAGCAACCTGGTGTGGTGGGAGGTGTCCCTGCCCAGGGCAGGGGGTTGGGACTGGATGATCTTTAAGGTCCTTTCCAACACAAACCATTCTGTGGTTCTCCTGCATGGCTCAGGGCAGGCTGCACACAGGTGAGCCCCGGCGGAACAGAATTTTGGATGCCAACCCCTTTAGGATTCATTTTTTTCCAGGTTTCCAGCAGCAATTCTCTAACGAAAGAGAATGAGAGGGGGACTTAGGCTCGGTGTCCGTTTCTAGAAGCAGCATTAATTTGGCAACATTACCAATAAATAAACAGCCCTTAAAGAGCAGGACCCCGCCACCCAGGACCCCCAAAGCTGGGGGAGAACCCTCCGATTGCCCTCCCTCCCTCTCTCGCTGTCCTTCCCCCCGAGCAGCGGGGATAGCTGAAGAAGCCTGTCATCGTTTTATTGCTGTTTCTAATAAACACATATGGTGATGCGTAGAACAAGAACAACAGCGCGTCGCTATTGTTCAGCGCACGGCCATATGTGGGCTGTCCAGCAGCTCGGCAGCTGCGTCGTGAGCGCTCAGGAATGTCGATAGCCCGGAGAGAAAGGAATGATTTTTGAAGGGCTCCCAGCCTCGCAAACAGCGCGCGTCTGCTTTACATACCGCCGTTGCTAAAACAACTTCTTCTTCTGCCCGTGCTCTGCCAAAAGCATAGACGGGGCGTTAGTCACGGCAGAAGTTTATAAGGTGATTAAATTGTTAGCCATCGCAAGGCAGAGGCTGAGAAATTAGCCGGGGCTCATGTTGAAGGGAGCTTTGCAAAGCAAACAAACCCCAAATAAGTATATTTTTACGCCTATAAATACTGCGTGGTTATATACATATCTCTGCATCTGTATGTGTGTATTTATACAGTTAGTACTTTTTTTTCTTTTTAACATCGGAAACTCAGGCACTTGCACATCTAGTACTTCACATAAGAAAAACTTGAACCCTGGTGCTAATCCCTATTTATTTTATCCCGTTGTGCAAGGTTGGAAGGCATGCGATTTACCAATAGTTTGCTCTCCATTAGCTGCATTCCCCCCTGGCCTCGTGTGGCTCTGCTGGGGCTGGATGATGCATACTTGAGTGATGCAGAGGCAGCCCAAACGTGATGGTTGGGATGCCTCGCGTACATCTGTGTTTCTAACACTCTTCTTTTCCTGATGCCATATTTACCCAGCAACCTGATGGAAAATGAACAGCCCATCTGTACATCTTCATTTTTCCATAAGTGCGTTCGGGGGAGAGAGAAGCTGTGATTGAGGGGACAGAGAAATAAAACTTAAAGCAGGCAACACTTTTTTTCAAATTTGGACAAACACAGGCAGGCAACCATGTCTTTATTTAAGCACTTGAATAATTTAACCGATTTTTTTTCTGTTTGAGATGCTGAGTACCTACTGTAAAAAAAGAGGAGAGAGAGAAAATTGTAAGGGATCCAAAATTCAACTGCTTGCATATGTCTCCGAGCGTGGCTTTTAGAAGTCTGATTTAAATATCAAAGTGTGAATGGTTTTGGTCAGCGTTTCTAAGGCATGGCGGGAAGTCCTCGGTCTTGTATTCCTTTTGCGTGCCCCTCACGCACACACCATCTTTGGGGCACACAAATTACCTGTATAATGGGACATGATTTGAGTAACCTATAAAGCCCCGGAAGAACCGCATCCAGGCGTTCACAGAAACCCTAGACCAGCTCAGTTGTGCCAAAATCCACAACCGGTTTTGCCCGGTAAACGAAACCACAAACATTTGCACACTCAGATATCCTAACAAAAAGTAAATATTCTGCATGACGTACTTTTCAATATTGTACACAGTAGCACACACACACAAAAAAAAAAATAGGAAAAAAGAATTTAACTTCTGTTTACTCCATCTTAGGCAGTTCTTTACCAATGGGTAAAGCTGAAATGCCCACACCCACTCTCCTTGAACTAATGAAGGGCCGTATTTTTCCCCTCTGACAGATGAACATGGCTCTCGGTTCCTCCTGGGAGTGGTGACAGGACTTCAAAAAAAACCCTGCACCATGGCCTGATTTTCAGAGGTCTCCAGCATCCCCCCAGTTCCTGTTGACTTGTAAGCGACGTGCAGCTTGAGGTTTTGCTTGTTCCTCAGCTGAATCTTTCAAAACTCGTGATGTCTCAGCATGAGTCAGTGTTTTATGTAACCCCAGCTTGCATTCCTCCAAACCCCTCCTGAGCTCGGAGCGCTCCAACAGCCAACCTCAAATTCTTCATCCTCGCAGCTGACAACTGTGGTCCTCCGGCAGCGGCACGACAAGTTCCTCACGCTGCTCCTGGGGGTGGGTTTGGGGCCCCAGCGTGGCTCTCCGAGTGCAGGGACTGAGGCTGGAGGAAAGCTGGGCTGGAGGAGGAAGCTCCACTCCACAACGGGCAAGATGTTGGGCTTTCCTGCATCAGAAGTGCCCACTGCCAGTTCTGTCCAGCTGTTCGGTGGTTTTTTTTCTCTTCCTTTCTCTTTCCTTTTGTCTTCCTTCCTTCCTCTTCCTTTTTTCTCCTCCAGCATCAGAGTTATCCATGCCTCTACCAGAAAAAACCAAACATTTTCCCATAAAAGTGGTAGGAAGGGAGGACACCGCTGTGGTGGATCCCACTGGCTGTTGGTCCCTCTGTAGGCACCTTGGATGGCATCTTCAGTTCCCACTCCTGGCACCCTACTTCACCCTGAAGCACCTCAACAAGCTCAAGAGGTAGATTATTACACCATAATTACTTTTTTCACTATTTTCTGTGAATGCACTGAAATATATTAAAAAATCGATGGGAGAAGGTAAGAAGCGAAACCCCTTTTTTTTTTTCCATCCTGACTGATTTTCTCTTCAGAGGTGGAAAATCTCCACCCATGATGGCAGTTTCCCATGCCCATCTTTTCAGGGGACCTCCTCGTTGGTGGGACAGACCCTTCTCAGCCTCTCGGGGTCAGCACAGCTGATAAAGCAGGAAATGTTTATGATATTTAGAGAAACCATGCAGGAATGTGAAGATGAAGACAGGGAGAATGTGTGCCAGTCTGCTCCACTAACCTACTCGGATGCACTGTGGTAGCAGCAAAATAACCTGCCATCTGATGCTCTGGATGCTGTGACCCTCTGCTGGCACCGTGCAGACCTCAGGTATGGAAACCCTCCCCTGGCAAAATTTCTTGTCCTCGTTAGTGCAGCAATTTGAAATACATGTCTGTAGGGTCACGGCCAAGTTTGGTGATTGTGAGGAATGTGCTCTACAATGTTGGGATCCATTCCCTTCTTCTTTGGCCACCCAACAAACCAGCATCTTTCCCACCTTCGTTCCTCCAAGAAATGTCTATGTTAAAACACTTTTTTTTCCTCCAACTGTATCAGTTGGCCTTATAAAAGGTGTAACCTCTTCATACATGGGTGCCTGCTCTGTACCAACACGTAGCATTTCAGTGCTGGCAGCCTACCTCCTGCTTGGGCAGGAGCTAAAAGGTTGGCCATGGTTGGTTTTTCCTGAAGAATTTGGGCAAAATTGTTTTACAGCTGGTTTTGCCTATGGCTTGCCTTTGGTGTTTTTTTTCACTGCAGACCTCAAAAGCAATCCCCTCGGACATGGTTATATATATTTCACTGTAAGTGAAAGAGAAGAAAACAAATAAAAACACAACGAGGCTCTTTCTCCACGTTGGTACTTTCTTCAGACTTTCTACCGAGGATTTCCAAGTGCATTTGTCATCGTACGGTAAGGGCTCTGAATGAATTTATTGATGGTAGCTGGAAAAAAAAAAGGGAAAAAAATGAATGAAATCCCTCGAGGCAGAAGGTATGTCATGAACTTCCCCAAGTTATTTGCAAATGTTTCTGCCAGTATCAATAAATCCCTCAAATTTCAAGATAGGCTACATTAATTACAGGATGGCATGATGTATTTAAAGGTTGCTGAAAGTTCTATCTGCGATCAGTCGTGTTCGAACTGCAGGTTGATGGGAAATATTTGTTATTTTAATACGTAGGCACGCACGCGAGCAGCAAGAGCCTCCATGATGTTTTAATAGGCTTTTATTAGTTCGTACTCTCCTTGTAATCTTGTTTTACAGTATGTGCGCTCAATGTGTTTGTGTCTATGCTCTTCATGCACACGTCGCAGGATGCCAAAACAGCCTTCTGCTTCCTTGTTTCCAACCACTTAGTCAGGCACTTGAACGCTTTCCAAATCTTGTTAAAAACCAGAAATAGCGCTATCACTTCTTGCCGGAGAGCGCAGAAGAGGTGGAGATGGTGGTGGACGGAGAGGGCAGGGGAAAAGTGAGGAGGAGGAGGAGGAGGAGGCAGCTGGACGGTGGGGGGATCTTCATGGGTGAGCTCAGAAAAGCCTCCGTGCCACCACCGCCCAGACCTCATCTGGGGCTTCCCCGCTGTCTTGCTGTGGAAAGCGGGGGGTTTGGTTCACTCGCTGGATGGAAAACGCACTGCAAAGATGCTCCTTGTACATCACCTCCCGTTTAAAAACTCTAGGCACCCAGAGTTCCCTGGCCAAAAATCACAGGGTGTTTGTTTAATGATTTATTTTTATTTATATGTATATGTAATTATTATTATTATTTATTATATACATATAAAATCTTAGTTATATTTAAATTTTACACTTTTTTCCCCAGGAAAATTGGAAGTAACATGCAAATAGGAGTGGGGTTTTTTTCTGAGCAAAATAGATTTAAAAATCAACTTTATTTTATTCACTATTTTTTTCCAAAACTGAACTAAGCAGGCCAGCTCAATCTAGATTCAATAAATGCTTCAGAAGTTCATTTCTGGTGAATTAAAAATTGCTCCTGAGACTTCAAAGTGTTCCAGCCAGGTGAGGTCTTGCTGGGGAACAGTGGGATCATGTAATACGGGTGATCCTGGTTTCTCCAGAACATGTGCTCACTGCTTGTACCTCTTTTTTCTGCTTAGACTAGATGTTTTCTGGTGTGTATCTCTTAGGCAAGGAAGCATCAATTTTGGCTGGTGCTTGGAAGCTGTATTAATTAACTGGACACGCAACTGGAGGCAGCAGCAGAGAGTGTTTTCCTTTGGATTGCTCTTGCAGATGTGGATTCTCTGATGTCTACAGGTGGTTGAGTTCTTCCCATTGGTTGGGGGAGTCAATGGTGGTTGCCTTGGTTCCCTGTCTCCGTGAGGTGGGAACATCTGGCCGGTTTGACTGCAGCCACCCAATGGCTTTAAAAGCAAACACTGACGCAGGCGTGTGCCCACGCACCCGTACATCCACGCAGAACGTGATGAGGAGCCAGTCCCTATAGCCTTAAAGAAACCCAGATAAAAATAATGTTGCCATAAGAAGCTGATGTTATGCATGAGTAAGATGACTGCGAGGCTCCCACTGCCTACTGAGAGGCACTGGGGTGTCACATTCCATTAAGGAACTTGCCGAGGAGTCGTGACACAGCCGTTGCTGACTGTCTACGCTACAGCCCGCCTTTGTTCGTGGTCAGCAAAAAAGCTGGTCAAATAACATTGATCAGATTGTTTACTTGGCATGTCCCCCACAACCTGAATAACTCCTTTTTGCAGGGTTATTTTCACCCAGGTGACATGCTAGATGCAGCGCTAACTAATATAATTATCAAAATCTGATGGTCTCAAAAGAAAGTTTGAAGTCAAGTGTTGGGTTTCTCAGTGGAGCAGCGTTTGTGGCCCCAACCAGCCATGTACTGAGGAGCAGATGGCCGTGTTCTGAGACTTCTTCGTCTTCTTCTCATAGTATCTCCTTGCAGACACAGCCTCCATGAAACATCATGGCAGGTAAGAGCTGTCCAAGCCAAGTTGGGCAGCAAGAGTGCATCATCTCCTGGGGGGAGGTTCATGGTGTCTCAGACCACCGAGCCTTCCACCCTGCTACCAAACTGGGGTAAAAGAGCCACTTCTCAGGGAGAAAGAACCAAGTTGGGTGCTCGTGTTTGATGGTCAGCCCTCCTAGAGGTAGCAAAGCTCAGCTCTAGCCCTTGGGATGCGGAGGTGGTGAGAAATAGTGGCGTATTTTTTAATTTGTAGAGGGTTGATGTCATGGGTTGGGTCTTCTTGCTCCTCCAAGAGCAAAGGATATGGGTGAACCTCTCCCAATATCAGCCTGTTCTCAGTGCAGCAAGGATGGAGGTCATGCAGGATCACATTAAATCACATTTTTCAAATGAGTGGTGTCTTTTTTCATTTTTTTTTCAGGAAAGCAACGAACCTGCTTACCCCAAGGCTGGTGCACTCTTGGAAAGTGAAATATACATGGTAATAATGATGGCGGGAGGGAAAAATTCTCTTTCATAAGAAAACTCGGTGCGTAAACACAGCTTCATTTCGCCCATAAGAAGTTTGTGCAAGTGCAGAAAAGTCCAGGTTTTTCTCCTGCCCCCCCAAAGAAACATAATCCAGAGTTTATATCGGATGGTTTATGGGAGTTTATTGGAATATCCAACAGGGTTCATGTAGTGTGTCATAAGGTAAAGCCTGTTCGTTGGTGATTTACAAGCAGTGTGTGCCGGTGTTACTGTAATTTATAGACCACAGATGGTCAGGGGGTGCCCCTGCTGACTTGTAGCTGAATAAGAAGCTGAGCCCTGCGTGTCATCTGCTGCAGGTACCTCCGGCTCACTTCCCCAAATTAGTGCTGATGGAGACCTGCCTTCAAACCCAGAGGGTCCCGAGACCTCTGCCTTCTAAGCTGGGCCCGTTTCGGGAGGGGAGAGGCCACAAATGATTAAGGCTGGGGGAAAAAAAACCAACCCCGAGCAGATCGGAACAGCACCAAAGGAAAATTGCTTTTTACGATAATAACTTCCCTTCTCAAGGCTGGTACTTCATTTGATGGTTTTTTGTCACCTGTTAAATGGAGAAGGAAGAATGTCAATCCCTCCTTTCATACCCTGGTCAAAGACAAACATCTCCTCTACAAAAATTTATATATATTCATAAATCTCCCTTGTAATGCCCTGTAAGATAGATCCTACCTTTTTTCCTTGTAATTTTCCTCTTTTAGGTAATTACTCTTTCACTATATTTTACTACGACTTTCTTTCCTGCCTGAAGTTTACCTAAGTCACTGCTTCCTTAAGCCTGATTAAATAATTGTCTCTTTATCCCAGCACATCTTTCTGATCCCCTAGGAATTTCTTCCTGGTGGATGCACGAGGCGGAGGGAGGACAGGGCTGACGGCACGTCCCACCCAAATCTTCAGGAGAATTAATTATTATTTTTTTAGCCAGGGGATTGGGCCCCCTTTTCACTTTAAATTTTCTCTGGTTGACAAGGTTCTTGGCGTCGCCTCCTATTTCTCCCAGCCCTGTTTTGGTCTTGGCCATGCGTGGCCTTGCTCCCGACGGCAGGAATACCGCGGTGGTCCCCGGCACCATCCGGCAGCCTTCAGAGGGATGTGCTGGATCTGGGGATCAGCTCAGCTCCCCTGCTCCAGCAAGGTCATGCCTTTTAACAAGGTGCCGCCGATTCCCCTTTTTAAAGGGCATTGATTATGTTTTGTTAAAATGGGCTTTGAACCCAGCTGACCCTTCACCACGTAGGACATCTCAGGGTTTGGTTTTTTCCCTGCCTGGACCACACTTGACACCTGTTGGGTAAACATGGCTGCAAATGCCACTGCGAGAACCCTGTGTCCCAGCCCAAAACTAAGGGGCTTCATGGTTTTTTTTCTCTAAAGACCTAAGAGAATTTGGTGGCTTCCTTAGTTAATGAAAAGAAAAAAAAACAAACCCACAACTTTGTTATTTCTTATCAAGATGGGGGAAAAAAACCCCACCTGATAGACAAAAGAAGCAGAAGGAGAGCTGTAATGGAAATAAAATTGACAGCCTCTCAAAACTCAGGTGGCACTTTCCTTTTCCAGTTAATTACAGTTTTAATTACATGGCTTCTTGTGACTCCTTGATACCTAATAAACTAGACTCTGTGGGGCGGCAAAGTTGAGTTTTGCTTGAACTGCAGGTGTAAGGCTCAGCATGAAACATAAATCAACTTCTTAAACATGTTCCCAGGGTGTGTTCAGGCTTTTTCTTCCTATTCGCTTGTAAAAATCACATCTTTTCACCATTGTTGGGTTAAAAAAAAAAAAAGAGAGAAAAAGGATTGAAGCTACAATGCAGTGAGTATTACCTTTGTGTCTTTGGATATAGAGGTCCCCTTTTAAGCAGGGAAAAAAAGGCTTTTCTTTTGAGCTCAGATCTGATAAATTTTAAAGGAGTGATGCATTATCCGTACAGATCTTCTTGCATAATCATTTTTTTAGTGCATAAGATAGGAGAGGAAAGTACATTAGCAGCGTGGCAGCGAGGGGAGATTGGTATGTGGAAAATAAAGAGACTTTCAGCCTATTGGAGCTGCCTCTTCTGAAGGTTCTGAAAACAGAGAGTGCCTGTTTATTCTTTGTGCGTTGTGCCCTGGAAATCTGTGCTCCAGTGAGGTTCAAGCCCAGTGCCATACATCACCCGTCAGCGGGGTAACGTGCTCGTGACCTGTTGCAGCAAAACGCTGGAGGAAAACATGGTCCAGAAGTTCCTGTTGGTCTCAACCCCAGAACATCTGATGGGGCCACGAGCCCAGAGAGCTCTACTGTCACAACCACACATGAAAAGGTCTTCCCTTTTCCCCAAACCAAACTCTTGTAAAAAGAGGGGAGGAGAAGAAAAGGAGAGGAAGGCAAGAGGCAGGAGAGCTTCACAGATGGTACTTAAATGTTGGTGCAACACAGGAGCAGCGAGGTTCAAGTGTGGGACATGAGAGTCCTCCTTAATCTGTGAGCCACAATCTTGGAAGGACTTTATTTTCTTAGTGTCTTCTTACTCGTTTTATCCTCATTATGAGTGGAGAAGGAGAGCTCTGGGACAAACCTGCCTGGTTAGCAGCTTTCCATACCCAGTAAAGGGAAGGTGGGAGAGAAGTTGCCATGTCCTGCTTGCTTTTCCACATGAATTTTTGGTTTCTGGGGTTTTCCCATCGCTGGTTACCTGAGGTAGTGCCATTGTGCTACTCCTTGACTGGACCAAGCGTGCTGAAGGCAGCTGAGGATCTTTCTTGCTCCTCCAAAAGCTTCGTGACCGTCCTCAAGACAAACTCTATAGACTTGCTATTCTGGTTAAGCAAAAATCTTCATTAAAGGCAGACCACAGAAAATATTAACTTTTTGGAAGACAAGGAAAGCCTAGATCAGCCCAAAAAATTATCTCTTTTTCAGCCCCGCTTGTCACATCAGCACTACAGGAGTTGCAGAGGGAAGGCTGAACTCCACAGCTGGATGATCTTTCCTTCAAGGACTTCTGCAGCCCCCAAGCAACAGCCAGCACTGCTGCCCCTTGTAAAAAGCCGGATGGATCCATGAAGCTGTTGCTTTTCTCCTCTTCAAGTCCTCCCCATCGAAACCTACCCCCAACTTGACACCCGGAGCAAAAGAACTGCAGGAGCTGAGGGTGGATGGAGATACTTAACGTCCAGTTTGGCTGTGGCTATGGATACCCGCACCGTATCATGTGTATAACGTGGTTTGTGTTGCCTGGTGGCAATGGTGGCATGGTGACGTGAACTTTTGTGCCAGCCAACAGTCCAGGAGGACCTCAGTGCTGTGGAACCCCGAGGCTTTGTAGCCTAAATCCTGAAACTGGAGGAGGCACACCTCAGGCAGACAGCTCAGTGTCTTTAAATACCAGTGTTAACTCTGAAAATTAACTGGGAAAGTAAAAAAAAAAAAAAACAAACAATCCTACAGGCAAGCGAGAATTTGCAAGAGGAAGAAAAAAAGAATTCTTCCCGTCTTCCTCCCATGTAAAGTGTTTCATCATCATTTTCAATTAGTCTTGGTTTTATTTTTGAAACCACACAGAGAGGCAATTATAGTGCTGTATATACTTTCATATATAGTTTTTCCAGAGTGGGAAAGGCAGGGTAACATTAAGGAAAGGAAGAAGAGTGGGAACAGGACTTTAAAAGATAAAAGAAGGTTAAAAAAAACCAACAAAAAAAATACTTCTCATCCTAGCACTACAAGTGGGGTTAGGAGTGAGAAGAAAGAGAAGAAAAAAATGAAATATACGAAAGATTTTGGTTCACAACAAAGAAATGAAGCAAAATTTTACAGTTGAAACAGACTATGCTTTTTTCTTTTTTTTTTTTCAAATGTGTCCTGTGATGGACAAGGAGGAAAAGAGATGTGTGTGTGCCAGAGTGGGGGAGAGGACACCTTCTGTGGGTGTTGAGCTGCCTGTACCTGGAGGTGCAGGCAGCATCCTCCAGCTTGTTGGGAGCTTAACCACAGCAAGTGAGTGGAGAAAGCTGTGGCATGGAGCTGGAGGAAGCACAAGGAGATGAGAAGGAGCATCCTACAGCGAATACATCCCTGGTCCCACCATGGAGGGGGAGGGCGGCGTAGTGTGCACTAAACCATATGCCACCGACCCATATGGCAATGTGGTCTGAAGCCTTTCAAGGCGGTTCCAACGGGGGAAAGGGCTTGAAAAGTTTTCAAACGGGGTTTTTATGGTCTGCTGAAACACGAATGACCGTTTTTTTCATTCTTCAGGGGAAGTTTATCTGGAGGAAGGTGGGCGAGGGGCAGCCACCCTGAGCCTGGTTCCTGCTCCTGAGCTGGACTGGGGAAGCGTCACCGTGTGGGGAGTGCATTTCTCCCCGAGTTGTGGGCAAGTTGTGCTTTAATAATGGCATAACAGATAGTGCATGAAAGGAACACGAGCTGCAAAAATGATCCCATTGGGAAGGAAGCTTGGAAGAGGTTTTTCTTTCTGAACTTGACACCAGGGCCGGGAACCCAGCACACATCTGTGCAAACCTGCCCTAGTTCAGAAGGGATTGGGCATTTGGAAATCTCACCCTTGCTTGAGGCAGCCCCACTGAGGTGGGGTGGACTTAGCTGGGGAGTGGGCTTTTTTCAGCATCCCACATTGTGCTGGGATGAGGTATGTGGGGGCATCAGAGGAGCAGCAAGGGATGAGGGCTCTCTCTGGGGAGAAATCCTGCATGACCATGGCTCTGCAAGAGGGTGGGCTGAGTGGAGAAATGATGATGAAAGAAGCAGCAGCACCATCCTCGTGGCTGCAGGAGCTGTTGGCCATGCCTTGGCATGAGCAGGGTCACCAGCAATTGGGTGCTGCACTGGGCTCCCAGGTGTATTGCTTATGTCCCTGTAGCAGACACAGGGGTGGTGGCAAGGGTATAGCTGGAGGAGCCTTCATCCCTTCAGTCCTTTTTGGGATACCATTCCTTGGAACAGCCTATAGTGTGAAGAATCATGGAATGGTTTGGGTTGGAAGGGACCTTAAACATCATGTAGTTCCAACCGCCCCGCCAAGGGCAGGGACACTTCCCAGTAGACCAGGTTGCTCGACGCGCCATTGGCTTGCAATGAAAGATCTAAAAGGCATTGAATGAAATGGCTAGGGAAAAAAATATAAATCTGCTCACTCAACGTATTTTACTTATCTGCAAAGTTTTGTGGCTAAATGCAAGGTGAAATGTCCAATGACATGGCAGGCTTTTCTCATAAGTTGCATGTTTGTTGGTGTTTCTCATCTACGTTCTGCTCCTGGCATCTTGTAATGGAAGGAGAAAAACAGTTTCCAGGAAAATGTAAAATAATCCCTAATCTATTGGTTTAAAAAAAAAGGGGGGGGTTCTAAAATTTGCAAAAATAGAACTAGCATACCCCAAACGCGACCTGGATGTTGTTCTCCTTTAATCTCAGGGATTTGGAGAGGGCTTTGTGATTCTTGAAGATCCCACCTCGTGAAGATCGATTTCAAACTTGGGCTGGAAGAGGCATCAGAGCAATGGAAAAATGTTCTGAATGATGGTCACGTACCCACCTCAGAGCGACTGAAGAGCACAGAGAGAACAGCCCATCCAGCAATGTTCCCACCCACGGTAAGCGCTGCAGATCTATTGCCTTAGGGGATCTATTATTTTCTGGTTAAACAAATCTATCTATTGTTTTAACCAGCTTAGCTTTTTTTAAGCCAGACCTTCACAAACTCGCTCTGAGCTCACCTAAACAATCCTGGTTTTTAACTTTTATGGGGAATGTGACTTATGATTTACTTGATAGCTACAGTGAGCCTAATGAAATAAAAGCCTGACCTGTGTGATGTGTATAGGCTACTGTATTATAAATATTTAATAAGTTATATGGAAAAAAAGAAAATATAGGGGTTACAGAAATCATATTAAAGCAACTAAGTAAATACAAAGAAGGTTAAAGTGTCTAAGTCTATATGGTGTAAAGGCTAAAGCAAACCAGATCTCTCTTCTAGATACTTTTCCATGTACAGCAGTAACTGGGCTGCATGAAAATAAGGCAAGTATTTAAAGACAGGAAAAAAAAAAAAAAAGAAAAAAAGAAAAAAAAGAGAGATCTAAAGCATTTGGTTGGCATTGATAGCAATCATTTCAAAAAGCCCTGGAAGGTTTAAAGAGAATTAGAAAGGATTTTGCTGGAATCAAAGGGAGAGCGCTTTCCACGGCTGGACGTGTATTTGGGTATCTGCAAACTGATTACATCAGAGTGAGCAGAACAGCCTTGATCATCCAGGACTTTTAAAATCAGAAGAAAGGGGTTTTCCTGTTTGGGCTCTTTTTTTCTCACTCACACATCTTTCGGCTTTCATTCTCCTGCCTCCTTGATGGTAAAGTAACATTTGTTTTGGCACGGGGGCTCGTGGAGCCCTTTGAAAGGCCCTGTGGGTCTAGCAGCTCCAGCGCGCACCAAACCCGCGGGGGCTGAGCAAACCTGGAAATATTTAGGTTTAGGGGTTGTCTCTGTGTTGTTTTTAAAGAAGAAGTGGATACCTTCACACTTCACCGCAATATCCGCCGGGATGCAGGCTGGGCTCCTGGCTCGCCGCCTCTCCGTTCCTCTGGCCGTGCCAATCCCAGAACCAGCTCTCCAGCCAAAAATAGGGGTTTTTCACGAGGATCTTGCCATGGTGGGCGGTTCACCCTTGGTGTCATCCAGCGGAGAGAAGGCGATCGAGTCCCACCACCACCACCCAGGCTTGCCCTCACCTCCTTCACCCTGGTGGTGGTCTTGGCTCTTTGCTCCTGGCCCCCCCGGCGGGCTGGGAGGGAGCTGGGATGGTGCCTTGCTCCGTCATCCTGTGCCAAGGGTGGATTTCTGTTGGGGAGAAAAATAAGAGTACAGAGGGGAGCGAGGCAAAACCTTGGAGCCAACCTTAAGCCTCCCTGATGCCAAGAGGGACATCTCCTCCCCGGGAGGACATTCACCAGCCCCCCCCCCAGGAGCTGGTTTGGCTTGTGAAGCCTGCTGAAAACAACTCCCATTTGGGGGTTTTGGGGTTGTTTTTCTTTTTCTTTGAGTTTTGTGGTTTTTTTAAGCTTTCTCCTGGCGTAGGGAATGGATTTGGCCGGCGGGAGGTGTGGGAGCAGGGGAGAGGGGACTGTGGCAGAGGAGAGCGGGAGGGAGACCCTCCCCTCGCAGAAGGGCTCGCATTGGTGGGGCTCTCCCCACCGGCCCCCCTCCTCCCTCCCCGCCATGGCCAGAGGAGGGCAAGGCAGGCCATGGGATGAGATCAACCCAAGGGCGAGAACTGGGGGTGGGGAGACTTGGGGAGGGTTGTTTTGTTGTTTTGGGGTTTTTTTTTTCCCCCTTAAGTCCCAACATATGTTCCATAGAAATTTTAAAGGTGGAAATCTGGGGCAAGCGCGGACTGACGGCCAGCAAATCTAGCGCTAACAGGCACAAATGAAAATGAAATTATGCTCATCCCGCCCCTTTCTACTGTGTCCACATTGTCAAATTCGGTAAACAAGCGAACGAGGTGACCCAGCCTCCAGCAAAGCTGGCAAGAGCTTTTCCTTTCCATTTGATGGAGTAGCCTAAGCTGTTTTGAGGTCGGGGAATGCGTTTTCTTGCCATTTCCCCCAATGATGTATATAAGTCAGGCACGGAATCTCCAACACCCAGGAACTCTTGTGTTTTTAAACCCTCACATGGATTCCTGCTGTGACCCGTGGAAAAGACTCCCACGTGGGCTCTGGTGGGTTGGTGTGTTGCCCGGAGCGGCGTTTCCCCGCCTGTGCCCGGGGTACCGAGGGCACTCGGCCACCCCACTTCTCACACGAGCCCATCTCAGCTTCAGAAGCCTATTTTTATGGAGAAGGAGGGGTAGAAAAACTCACTTCTCACTGCAAATAACAGCACAAATTCACCTATTTAAAGACATGCTTTTTTTTTTGCAGATGACCTTTTTTTTTTTTTTTCTTTTTGCAGTATTTTCCCTGCTACAGTTACCATCCTAAATAACGCTAACCCATCTCGCTGCTGCCGATGGAGAGGCTTTACAGTGCTACGGAGAACTATTTTGAAGGTACAAATCACTTGACCTAAAGACTCTCCCTGGAGTGTCGGTGCCTTGCACTACATTTTCACTCTGCCAAACCCTTTATTTAGCACATGCTAAAGAACATTTAACATTTAAAGATCCCCTCTGTACATCCTCTAAATGTCTCTATCCTTTGCTTTTAGATTAATATGTCTTCTGTGAAAATGAGATAATTGATTACAGAGCCGTATTATTTACAAATGAAGTGTTGTTCATGTATTGACCTTTCATTTCTATAGCTCAATACTAGTCCTTGTACAGCATTTTTAATTAGCGAAACGGTAACAGAATTAGAAGAAAAGGGCGAGAAAAAGAGCTTATGTGGATGCTTTTAGTAAATTGAATCCTTAAGATGACTTGCACGTTTAAAAATGTAAAAAAAAAAATTCATGTTAGGTCAGATTCTATGTCCCAACGCTTGGTTTGGAAAGAGAAAGGAATCTTCTGCTTCCAAAGGCACTGCTGGCAGAAATGCAGAAGGAAAGGGCTGGTCAATAGACAGGAGTGAGCCCTTCACCCTGGTCCTTCTTCACCAAGGGATTAATTTCAGCCCCATCTCCTTGATGACCGACCAGCAAAGCCCACCTTAGCATTTCAGGAATGAATGGCACCGATAAAGTCGGGGGTCTCAGGCGAGTGCAGAAAAGCAAGGCTCCCAAAATTAGAAATGCCAAACAGGCTAGAAATGCCAAAAAGGAGAAGCGTAACAAATTCACCCCTCCTGCAGCAGGACAGGGGCCACCTGGCTTGTGCGAACCAGCCTGGTTTAAATCTGGATTAAATAACGTTGCAGATCAGATCTTGGGGAGGTTTGGGTGGTGAATGGTCTGTGCAGCCCTTCTGAACCCCTTCCCCAGCCCTGCTGCCTGGCACTCGACAGCCCTGAGCTCAGGATGACTCAAACCCAGCTGGAAGAGGGATAGAGTAAGGAAGCAAGAAGAAAAGATGAAATATGGCATAAATAACAGTCCATGGGAGTTTGAGGTTTAAAAAGAAATATGTTCTGCTTGGGAAGGGGAGGGGTATTTCGTGAGAGCCACGAACAGGCTTGGGAAAGCTTTGGGTTTAAGGAATAGTTGGGGGGAAAAAAAAACCCCTCTCCTGCCATGAGCGTGTCGTAGTCCCAGTGTAAATGCTTTGGTCTGTTTGCGTCTGGTTTAGTTTGACCTCTTGAATGAGTAACTGCTTCTAAAGAACGTGGGGATTTTGATGGGGAGAAGGCAGGCAGCTATCTGTGGGGTGCAAGCCAAGCCAATCGTGATGCTTCCTTCCACTCCTGGCTGGGCTGGTCAAAGATGCTCGCAACACGGAGGAAGCACAAACCCTTGCAATGCTTTAATTTCCACTAATGCAAGCAGACAAACAACACCAAAAAAAAAAAATTGTAAAAATCAGCTAAATTTAGCTAGACCATGTGCATCTAATAAAAAGCCAAACAGGCAGAGCTGACCTCAGGTTGATTCCACTGTCCTTCCCCGGGTAGGTGGAGGAGGATTTTCCACATGGACTTCCAACGGGTTCAGACCCATGAATATAAATATCTGAAATATAAAGCAAATAGTTTCTTTTCTCAGTAACAAAGATGATAGTTAATGTCCTTACAGCTATAAAGGAACCCAAAAAGAGGGTTTTTTATCTATATATCTATATCTATCTATCTATCTAGATAGATAGATATAGATAGATAGATATAGATATATAGATATCTCTTTTTATTAATGCAGCAGAAACACATTAAAAATGTCTTTCATTGCAAGTCTGGAGAAAAGTATTAAGCTCAAATAACGTCATCGAGGAAAGATAGAGAAAAGTAACGGAGGGAAGGCTTTAAGTGCATGTTCAGCATCCTGTGGATGCAAACAGTTCACATTTCGGAGGGTCTGTTTTGGGGGGACTTTTGTCCCCGTTCTCATGGGCTCACAGGCAACGGCCGCTGAAACTATGAAAAAGAAGGAAGGAAAAAAAATCACTTTGGCGTCCTTCAACGCTCTTTGGGGAAGGAGAACGTGCTGCTTTGCTGGCTAAATTGTTCACAGCTTTGTCCGAGGCATCTCAGCTATCTTTTTTCTTCCTGGGGGCCTGGTCCCCATCCCCTCTGAGCATCATCACCATCAGCCCCCGGCAGCGATACCCCCTTCTTCCTGACCAGCCACTCCTGTTCAATGCCCTTGCAAGGAACAAAATTAAATGTATATTTGGTACAGCTGAAACAATTCTGCTTTTTGTGGTTGGCTCTCCCACACAACAGTCGTCCATTGAGGACACAACCCATGGTATAATTTTGCAGGAGGTGGCAGCAGCCTCCTGGCATCCCCACCATGTGGCTGTCCCCATGGAGGCGCAAAGAAGTCCCTAAATAGGACCCGGCCACGCCAAATAACCAAATTTTAGCTGAAAATAGGAGATGGGGGCGGGGGGAGCACGGGGTGCTGCTGCTTGAGCACAATATATCCCATACATCCAGCTTGCTGGGCTGAGCAGGACGCGGGGACCTCTCAGATGTGGAGCCAATAGGGAGCACTTGGGCTACCTGGGATTTTATAAATCTTTCAGCTATCAGTCTTTCAGAGCTCCAAATGCAAAATCCAGCAGCCCAGGATATCATGTGGATTTATGACTTGGGATTTATGAACTGGTCTGGATAAAATAAGAACTGCCTTGACATTATTTTTTTTTTTTTGTTTGAGGTTTGAGGAAAAGAAATAATAAAAAAATGAAGACATGGGTTTTTTTTTACCCCCCCTTTCAAAGCTTGCTGTTTATACACATATAGATGTTTTGTGTATATTCAATAATTTTGATATTTTTTTTTCTTCTTACCTGTGTGCTTCCTGGGGCTGGAAGTGGAGGAAGGCTTTCCTGCCTGGCAGGAATGGCTCAAGAAAAACGTGGTCTCTAGGCAGCGCTGGCCCCACTCCTGGAGTCAGGAAATGTTTAGGGAGAGTTCTAGATGTTTCCAACCAGTAGGTAGCTCCCCACAGTGCAACTGCCCCAGCCCTCACCTGCTTTCATCAGTTTTTTCCTTAAAATTTTTGCAGGCCTTGTTATTTTTGCCGTTTTTGGGGGTTTTTTTAGTTATTTATGCTGGGTTTTTTTAGGTGTGTATAACGTGTACCTATGTATATGTGTGTGTACATTTACGTACATGTCTGCATATTAATATGTGTACATTTATACAGCTCTAAGTAGGCATCAACTAGATATACATGTGTAGATATACAAATGTGTATGTGTACACGTGTATGTATGTATACACCTATATGTATATACAATTAGATGCCTATTTCCAGCTGTGTAAACATACACATAAGCATATGCATTTATGAGGGAGTATTATGGATCATTTGCACATTAATTCTTTTATTAGAAACCAATACAGACCATTGCTTTTTATGAATAATATAGAACTGTATGTATTTTGCTTGAGAACTCATCCCAAAGAACTTTCTATCCTTATCTCTAACTTAAACCTTCCTTTCAATTGTTCTCATCTTATAAAAAAAAGAAAAGGCAGGAGGAAAAACCATCAGATATATTTTTTGCCACTTTTTCTGACTGACCCTTGCCCCCAGTTTCTGGGTGATTTTCTTCCTGCGATCCTTGAATCCTGGTCTCTCTTTTCTGGATCAAGGCACCCCCTTAGGAAAAACACCCATCAAATCTATAGCCCCAGCCTTTCAGCCTTTTCCCATCCCCTTGGGCACGGACTTATCCATGTACCAGACTGTGCCAACACCTTCACCCCGGGGATGCTGAAAGCTTTGTGGGCATCCATCACCTCCTCCCATCTCAAGACCTGCTCCTGAGTATCTCTGATGGCTTCTTCACCAGGACAAAAGTCCAGGGAGGGCGGCGTGATGAAGGATGCTTTAGGCCCTTTTCTTGGTGGTACCCACAGCTGCACATCCAGAGGGGGGATGATGCTCCCGGAGCAGCTCAGTTCTGCTCCGTGCATGAAGAACAAGCTTTTACATCACCTCTGGTGCCTGGACAACCTAAGGTGGAGGTGCTTATCCCAGCCAGGGAATTCAAACCAACCAACCAAACCCTCCCTAACCTGTGCCTGGAAACACAACAGCTTTGGTCTAAGAAATGTCAGCAGGTTACTCTTTCTGAGTCTTGAAGCAAAATGTTTCACGTTGGTTTTAATTCCCACATGGTCAGAGTGTTTTTCAGCATGACTTGTGTCCCAGGAACAATTTGATTTGGATATCTTGTTTTAAATAAAATCGAGGAGCCCAAACCATGTCTTGGAGCTAGATAAAATTGCTGCTTAAAAAAAAAAAAAAAGAAATCCACAATTTTACTGGTTTTTAATCGTTCGGGGTGAATTTTTCTGACTGCCACCTCTTTTTTTTTAAGCTCAGAAATGATGCAGTGAGCCACCACGTTTGGGGTGAGGAGGCCAGCAGACTGCTCCTGCCCCAGCACCTCCCTAACCCTAAAGCTTTGGGTAAGAAAGTTTCCCTGAGAATTTCCTGCGAATTCATGAGATTTAGTGAACAGGGAGGGAAGAGCTGGGACTATGCCTTTCCCAGTTTTCACCCCGTCGAGCACCTGTACCCCTGGTACCTCAGGGGTTCCGTGGAGGCATTTTGGGGGCAGAGCAAGGGGGGGAATTTGAAAAAAAAAATTTTTCTCTTTTTTTTCTCACTTTTTCATAGCGCTGGCAGCCGGAAAAAGGCAGGTGGCATCCCACACCTCTCACCCTTCTCCCTGTGACACCCGACACAAACAAAACCCACCAAATTTTGGTGGCCACTGGGGCAGGACGGCCCCACCGGTGCTGGTCCGTGGTCCCTGCTCTCCCCGGTCCCATCTCTGGCAGGGTCTTGCTATTAAAAATGATCTCTCCATCCCAGGGTGAGGGAGGTAGGGGGGGGAACTGGGGGGGCAGGGTCTCTTGAAGTGCCTGGACCCCACAAAGTTCAAAGGCACCCTCCCTGCTGCCCTGAGGAGGGATGAAGAGCCGGCCGGAGGATGGCTGGAGGCCACACAGACGGGAAGGTATGTAACAATCCATTTATCACTTTGCAAATATTAGTGCTGCTCGCATTTGCTGCAGCAATATTTCTTCTTGGAAATTGGTGAAGTGAGTAATAACAATGTTATTTATTCTAAGACCTTGGGACTGAGAAGCAATAACAGGGCCGGGGGGCGGTGGGGAGTTGGGGGGGGGACCACACTGTTCTCTTGAAAGCTTCGGAGGTGCTGGGAATAAAATAGAGGGGGGGAGAGAAAATAGACCGACAAAAGGTCTGGAGGAGGGAAAGCCCTCAAAATCTCTGGTTTAATTGCCCCAAAGGTAACAAGGTGGGTTTTGTAATGATTTCCAGGTGACCAAGGAAGGGGTGGGAGGGGTGGGAGAAGGGTGGACACCTCGGATGCCTCTCTGGCTGGCACAAGGGAGGCAGCAGCAGCTCCTCAGGCTCCCCCTCCGCGCCGGCTGGCACCTCGGGTTTTCTCTCCAGCAAAACGCCTCCTTCGCCACCGAGTCTGCTTGTTCTCAGCTTTTTTCTTTTTCTTTTTTTTTTCTTTTCCCCCCCTGGAAGAAATGTTTGTTACCGTTCTCTCTCAAATTGGCTTTGCAAGTGACTTGGAGGTTTTGTGTCAGAAATTACTCATAGATCACTGGAGGGATAAAAGAGCCCCATTTGCAGTCCCAAGCATACTAGAATATCTTCCTTTGTGCTTTGTGACTGACAGGGGGCTTGAGGGGGGTTGGGAGAGAGGGCAGTGATGGCCGAGAGCGGCCCCCCAGGTTTGGCATGGGGAGAAATTAAAAGTTACAGGGGTTTTATAAAAGGTTTTCCAGGGCAAAAGGGAATAGGGATGAAAGCGAATCTCCAAATCAGAGCTGTGCTTTCTGTCGGTAGAGCCAAGCAGTGCTTTTCAAGTCTAATTACCTTTTGAGGAGGTAGATTACTTAGTCTGTGTTTATTCAGGTACTAATTGCCTCAGATTAAGGAAAAAGAAAACCTTACTCGACGATAATAAATATTTCTTAAGTCCGTATCTATCGTTTTGTTTGTCGGCAGAAATTTGGTGCAGACGAGACATATTTCAAAGGGGCCAGAGAATGACTTGACTTCTCCGAGGTGAAGGCAGCAAAAGTGGCAACAACCTGGAAAATAAATAAATGAAATGCAACGTATGTAGGGGTCACGATATAGCATAAGTATATCAACATGATGAACAGCTTTGATGAAAATGGTAAACAAAACCACCCTCTCTTCCTGTGGCTTGTTTTACATTGCAATAAACCACTGACTCTATAACCTATCAGAACATGCTGAGATTTTATGCATCATTTCCAACTACTATTTGAACATTTGGTTTAGAGTAGTCATGAACTATAATTAATGGGATCTTTTCTTTTTTTTTTTTTTTTCCTTGATAAAAAGCGGGCTTTATTGTATTTTATTACCTGTTGGTCCAAAGCTCCATATAGATGACGTAAATTCATTGTAGGCTTTAGGATGGGGATAAAGGAGGGGAGTGTGTGTTGTGTTTGCGCGTGATTATGATGAATTAACGTTTACCATCTGTAATCAAAGCCAGAAGTTTAGCTCGTGGTGCCCTGTCCGAATTTTCTTTGCCCCCTACGAGCGAGCTGGTAGCGCTGGGACGCCGAGATTTCGGCCCAGCTCAGCCTGCCAGGAGGAGAGGGGAGGAAAAAAAAAAAAAAAAAAAAAAAAAAAAAAAAAAAAAAAAAAAAACAACCCAACCCAGGCACCACAAAGACCATTGAGATGAATGGCTCTATTTTATGAGCCATAAAAGTTTTATTCATCTTGACACCGAAACAGGTTTAGGCAGCGAGTTGACACGCCTTAAATAAATAAGTGGAATTAATTCCCCGGCTCTTGAAACAATAGCAGCGTGCCCGTAACGCCAAGAGCTGCCCCGTTGTTTCCCGTTGCTGCTCGATATTGATATTATTTGTTGGGGTTTTTATCGTGGGGTTGGTTGTTGGGTTGTTTTTTTTTTGGTGGTGGTGGTTTTGTTGTTGTTGGTTTTTTGGTTTTTTTTTTTCCTCCGGGGCCTGGTTGCTCCACTTCAGATTCTTCCCCTGTTTTATTAGAGGTTGAAAAAGGTTCAAGACCTGGTTGTACCGCTGCTCCCACCGACAGCTAAGGAACCAGTTTGGCGTCTGGTTTGTCTGTTGTTTTACTGCTGACCTTCAAATCAACTTTCCCCCCTGACCCCAGGAGGCATCTATCATGACAAGAGGCTGTTTAACACAAATGGTGCCCATTTATAGGGGAAGAGAGTCAGAAGATTTCCTTGGTTGTTGTTTTTTGGGGGGGGGGGGGGGGGGGGTTG